GCCTAATTTAAAAAAAAATAAACAAAAAAAGTAGTCCACCAGAAATACGGATTTGAAGCACCAAAGTTTCAGGATAGATGGTTCTACGACAACAATTCAATTTTAATTTTAAATACAATGATAGGTACGATTAATTGACCAATGTTGAGGCCTGCCCAGTGTGTGAGATGTGTATAAGAGACAGTATATATCCTGGGTATTCAACCTTTTTGATCTGGTGGCCAGTTCCAATCCATTTGAGACCAGCGGCAGGCCGACATAAATTGTGTACTTTCAATGTATAAGCCTTGTTTTTTTCAACATCAATGTGATAGGCCTTGTTTTGTCAAAATGAGGCAATACAGTAGCATGGGGATCAAAAAACGTCTACCGCATGTTCTCCTACCCTAAACCATTTTCTGACCTCAAACAAATCCACTCATGCACTATACAGTAGTTAAAAACAATGCCAGCGCCAGAGTCCGACACCCCCATTGTTGGGGCTGAGATGAACCTCTAGATTCCCGGCAGAAATGCCACTTAAAGACTGTAAAAATATGTTTTCAAAGCAGTGTTTTCAAGAGAATTACACCCCAAGCCTTTTCCAAGGATCTGCCGTTGACGCCGACAATAGTTAGGACATCGCATCTTATCAGCGCCCCCTTAATCCTTTTATCCCCCATCTCCCGGGCAGTCTCCGCAACCCATGTTAACACTGCACGCTACAGATAGAGGTTGAAAAAAAATATAAAAGGAATTACTGATTAGCAAGAATGCTACAGTATTATAAACTTCTGTAGGTGATACTTTCGTACCTATGGACTAATACTGATAGAAACACTGACAGGACGCGCCCGTGCCAGGCATTACAATCGATTTTTTTTTTCTGATAAATAACCGTTACGCACTAAAACGCTACGCATAAAATTAGTTCGGCACCACTATCCAGTACCCTATCCACCATATACTGTAGCGCAATCAAGGGGAAGCCGGCATTTTCAAAATCATAAAAAATTGAGAAAAAAGAAAATTATATTCAAATTTATGTTTTTGGTATATGGTTTCGTTTGGAATATTAACTTTACCTGTAATTAAAGTGCAAAAAGTTGGCTTTTCCAATACGTTAGTTTATGCTTCAAAAACGAATAGTATTATATTTAAATATATTATAAACAGATATTATTAAGACAGCCACCAGTTGAAAATTCGCTTGCATGCGTCTTTGCAACGTTTTCAATTTTATAATAAGGTAAATTGTAATGTGTCATTAACTTCTAATATAATTAGATAATAATTTGGTACACTTTATTAACTTAACTAGTCTTTTAATGTTTTGCCTTTTATATTTTTTATATTATTTTATTTCCTATCAAGCAGCAAATGAACTCATCCCTTGATAAAGCCAAAGAACGAACAATATTCAACAGTTTAACTTGATTCTTATTTTTTATAGATTTAATGTTAGCTTTTAATCAAAATTTAAGATAAAATGTTTCTCACTAATTAAACCTGCATGTACAATTATACATTACTTCTATATATATATATATATATATATATGTATATATATATAATATATATATATATATAAAATTAGAATTTTTTTCTTTTATTATTTATCCTTGGGGACTGCTCAGGGATAAAATTCCTGGTCCTCCGCAGATCCCAGCAAAAAAAAATTAATAAAAAAAAAAAATAGCACAGAAAGTAACATGTCATAAAAACAGAAGATCATCAAACACAAGCAAGGTCAGCAAGCAACGAGGCGGCTCACACAAGGGCAAATTACACAGTGCCAAGCAATTCCACCCAATGGCAAAGAAATGTACTTCTCGTTCTTCTCCTTTTTCTTTTCTATTTTTTTTCTAAATAGAAAAAGTCTCAAAATGCCATCTTAAAATACATCACTTAAAAAAAAAGTAAGCTAGATCTGTCTCTGGGCTACGTGCCTCTTAACAACAATTTTTAAAATGCCAGTGTTAGTTTCACTTTTTATTGAAACATTAAAAGAACTCCACAACTCAACAAGTCTTTTAAAGTTTTTACCTTTTATATTCATTTCCTTTCAAACAGCAAATGAACTCATCCCTGATAAAGTAAAAAAAAAAGAACAATAAAATCAACACTTTAACTGCTTGATTCTTATTTTCTAGAATCAGAATTAATACGTTAGCTTTTAATCAAAATTGGCACGATATAATAATTCTAATTAAAATACGCAAAATATATATTTTTTTCAATTTCAATTTATTTAATATTTTATTGGCATCTGAATTGGTAGCTGAATTACAACAAATTTACAATTTAAAAATTCTTACACTAAAAAAACTTAACTATAAAACCAATAAATGCAAAACACATTAAACCCAGCTAACTATATTACGTTATAAGAACGTTATAATAACGTTACAATTTTTAGTAGAACTATAACGTACTTACAACGTAATTTCAGAACTACAGAACGTTTGAACGTTCCTGTATTGTGTGAACGTTATTTTGTGACATACCTAACCACAAGAATATTGTTAAGAACGTTTTGTATTTGCTGGGAATACGCTTTTGATTAAAATTATTCTTTAATATTTTGATACTTTTAGACTTTAAAATCTACTTATTAACTCAGTACGGTACGTATTTTGTGGTGTTATTTTGTTATTATTTTTCCGCAAATTACAAGATAACAATGTATTTTCTATTTTGCAGTTGCGGATTCAAGGGGCCAGCCTGCCCACCCCCTCCCCCACCCCACCTTTCTCGCCTAATTTAAAAAAAAATAAACAAAAAAAGTAGTCCACCAGAAATACGGATTTGAAGCACCAAAGTTTCAGGGTAGATGGTTCTACGACAACAATTCAATTTTAATTTTAAATACAATGATAGGTACGATTAATTGACCAATGTTGAGGCCTGCCCAGTGTGTGCTATAAAATGTTATAGCTAATACAATAAAACAAATTTATTGGCAAATAGTGTAAAATAATTGCTGATATTAAAAAAAATATAATAATGACTGATAATTGATTTATTTGAAATAGGCCTACTATTCTACTCTCTTTCATATAAAGAAAATGTCGGAAATCACGTAAATTCAGGATTCGATGCCGAATTACTGTATAATGCCTTGTCTTCTGGTGAATAGCATGGACACGGGTGACAGGCGACACGTACCCCAACTATTTTAAGGGGGTGGTCCCCCTCACGTTTCGTCCGCAAGGTAAATTCCTAAGGAAGTCAAGAATATACCTGGAAATTGTTGAATTGAACAGCATA